TATAAAATTACAATCATAAATAAATAAGTTCGGGACTAAAAACTTACTCGTAAGTAGTTTTAATATATTAAAACAAGTAATATTAAATCGCTACGTATTATTCACAAGTCAAGTGCCAAGATAATCTTTTTCTTTTGTTTATTCTATTTTGCAGAGATTTTTTTTTTTTTTTTTTGTCTTAATCATTATTCTTATCTTTATCTCTTTTCTTATATATATATATATATATATATATATATATATATATATATATATATACATATATATATATATATATAGGAGTTGCAAATAACTTCTTATACGTATCTCGTTGCATCTCTTTTATTTTATTTTTATTTTAAATAATTTTGTTATCGAGTCAACCCATCATGGGCGACCCGACCCAAACATATTTTTCTAACACACTTGTTTACCTATAAATTAAAAAAAAATTAATTAGATTTATCACTAAACTTTCTTTGGTTATCTCTAAAAAATAGCTTTCACCTTTTGACTTTGTCTTTAAAGAACTAAAAATTAAATTAAATTAAAAAAAATTTTAAAAAGTTTTCTAACTCTAAAAATTTTAAATACATATTATATATTTGAATCAGTTGTGAGAATACAAAATAAAACATGTGAAGATAAAAAAATTAAATAAATATAGTTATATTTAAAATTTAATGATTGATAATCCCAAGAATAAATTCATTCGCATGACAAAAGAAAAGTGTCGCTTAAAATTAATTATTTGATAATTTCAATTGATCAAATTCAACCAATAGATATTTTTAATTTATTAATTATAGAAGTTAATTATTTTAATGGATAATGATACCACATAAAGGATGTTTTTAAATATATATATATATATATATATATATATATATATATATATATATATATATATATATATATATATATATATATATATATATATATATATATATATATATATATGTAAATAACAATTTAATTGACTATGAAAAATCAAATGAATTAATATGTAAAAATTTTAAATAGAAAAAATTAATTACATTGAAAAAATACCGACACATTTTTTTAACATTTTTTATATAGAAAAATTAACAACATAATGCTTAAACGACGTCATTTAGTTTAAATATCAATTAGGCTAACCATTATAAATAAGAAAGAAAAAATATTTAGATAAATTTACCCTAAAGCTAATATTCTAGAATTTAAATTATGTAAATTGATAATAAAATTTGAAATTGCTAAATTAGAGTAGAATGGAGGAAGTTTCTATCATTAAACCTATTAGAGGATTTAAAGTAGCTTCTAGTTTGCTTAGTGGTCGCCACATAAGCCTTTCTTTGTAACTAATTATGATAGTTACTTAGTTGATTAGGTTAGCTATAGTGGTTAGTAGAGAAGTTAAATTTTGTTTCTCTTACTTTATAAACTCGGTAGCTTTTTCCGTATTTTGCCTCCACTCTTTCTAACAATAGAAAGAAGTTTGATTTTAAATCTAGGCGGTATGTCTTTCTTAGTTATCCAAATGACATGAAAGCTTATAAACTATATGATCTAACTTTTAAATCTGTTTTTGTTTCTAGGGATGTTATTCTTCATGAGAATGTTTTTCCTTTCTCTTGTATTCAATTTACTTCTATGCCTACAATTCTTAATATCATATCTCTTACTCGTTTGTCATGAAATTCGTAGCATACTTCCTTAATCATCACCGGAACATACCAATATCACATATGAATTCCTAGCATATTTTCTTAGTTACCACCGTAACCTACCAATATCACATCTACATATGATGTTTCTATTCAATCTTCCCCTTCCTCATTATAATCTTTCTTATCTTCTTTAGTTTTATCACCATCTTTCAATGATATCGCTTCTCAACATGTTAGGAGAAGTACTAGAGTTAGTAAACCACCTAGTTATTTAGTTGACTATCAAACTACTTTTAAAACTCTTTCCGTTTATTTTTCTACTTTATTTCTTATTTTACACTACATTTCTACTTCCCATTTATCCCATTCATATGCATCTTTCCTTGTATCTCCTTCACATCTTGTTGAGCCTCAAACATATCATCGAGCTATACAATCTACTCACCGAAAAGATGCTATGAAGACGTAAATTTATGCACTTGAGCAATACAATACTTGAACTATTGTTTCTCTTCCTCCAAGATAGTATATTGTTGGTTATAAATGTGTGCACAAGCTTAAGGTTCTTGCTAATGGGTTTATTGATAGGTATAAGGCTAGGTTAGTCACCAAAGGGTATAGTCAAACATCAAGGTATGATTTTTAGGAGACTTTTAGTCTTGTGGTGAAACGGACCACTCGTTCATTTGTTTTTGGCTCTTGCGAGCATCTCAAGGTTGATATCCATCATAAATGGATGTTAACAATGTTTTTCTCAATGGGGATTTAGACGATAGAGTTTACATGGACCTTTCTATGGGTTACCAAGTCCGGAGAAAGTATACATAGCTAGTTTGCAAGCTTCACAAATCTTTGTATGGATTGAAGCGGACATCAAGACAATGGAATTCTAAACTTATTAGTGCTTTATTGTCATTAGCTTCTCTCAATCCAAAACAAACAAATATTTATTTATCAAAAAAATATCATCTAATATTTTTCTTGCATTACTAGTGTATGTTCGGGACATAGTAATTGTAAGCAACTATAATGACACTATTGACAACTTCAAAAGGTATTTGTATTCCTAGTTTAAAATGAAAGACTTGGGAAAACTAAAATTCTTTTTTGGCATAAAGATTGCTCGATGTTCTAGAGGGATTTCCTTATGCCAAAGGAAATATGCTCATGATTTGATAATAGAACATGGTTTATTAGGTGCTAAACTAGTTTCAACACCAATGAATCCGGATAACAAACTCATGTAAGCATAGTTTGGTTTTTTTGAAGATTTAGTAGTTTACGGACAGTTTGAAAAAATTATTATAACTAACTTTTATGAGGCATGATATTTCTTATGCAACTCAAGTACTCTCCCAATACAGGAACAAACCAAGCATAGGTACATTTGCAAGCAACTTTTAGATTTCTAAAATATTTAAAGTTGTCTCCTAGAAAGGGTTTATTGTTTCCTTCACAGTCTAGTGTTAAGTTGCAGACTTACACAAAGTAATTGGACAGGATGTAGATATACTAGAAGGTCAATTATAGGTTATTGTGTTTTCCTTAAGAGCTTATCACTTGATAATCAAAAAACAATTATTGGTTGTTAGAAGCTCAGCAGAAGCAGAATATAAAGTTATGTCTTCCACTTGTTGTGAAATTGTTTGGTTACTAACATTGCTTGCAGAAATAGGTTTTGAACACAAGAATAGAGTTTTATTCAGATGTGATAATCAATCTACAATACACATCAACAAAAATCTAATTTTTCATAAAATGGCAAAACATATTTAAATAAATTATCATTTAATTGAAAAAAAGATTCTTACTAGAATTATCAAATCTGAATCTCTTCTACTTTACAACTTGCAAACTTGTTTGCTAAGTCACTACAACCTTCACATTTCTAGTTTCTTCCTAAGTAAAATGAGCATGATGGACATACATGTTCATTTCAAAGGGAGAATATTCAAGGATTTTAAGTAGCTTCCGGTTTGCTTATGTGGCTGTCACATAAGGCTTTCTTTGTAACTAATTATGACAGTTAATTAAGGTTATGTGCTTGCATAGTTGATTAGGTTAGTTATAGTGGTTGATAGGGAAGTTAAACTTGCTTCTCTTACTGATCTCTCTCTATAATATAGGACTTTCTTGATGAAATAACAAGTAGATCTTCTCTATTTTTGGTCAAACAAAACCTTATTTTATCCTTTCGCATTAGCTCATCATTCATTTTGCTGTGCTCTCTTTCAAGAGTAGGCAACCAGATCCAAGCAGGTCCGCATCAACTTCCAATTTTCCACTGCATTGGCCTGTGTATTAAAGTTCACTACACCTGCTTGTGGGATCCATGAACTAGCCAGTCGTTTAAATTTTTATGCACATATGCTGGTCCTCTGAAAAACGACTAGCTCAGGGTCTGGATGGCACTGACAACGGCATATACTTTAATTATTACGAAAAGAAAAATAGAAAAGATCGCACATGGTGGTGGGGAAGGATAACCTTAAATACATTTTATCGTCATGTTCCACAGAATGATCAAACTCCCTTTCAAACTTTTTTGTTTGCTTATTATCCCAAACCAATATATTCTATCAAATCTCTTGGTCTCTACAAAACCAAGGAAGGGAATCTTCCTTTGAATGCTAAGTGAGTGGAGATCCTTTCTCTGGAACCAAAAATCATTAGCTATCTTCTTCCTGTTTCGTTGAAAAGTGTCTCTTAATTTCTGCCTTTCAATAATTTTATATTATCATTTGTTTATTCTGTTTTAGCGTTTTGCATTTTATATGTATATCAGCTGTCATGGCCCTTGGGACGCTTCGTTTTTCTTTTAGCTCTCCATCCAATGTTCAACCAAACCCATCCAGCCTCAGTGGTCCCTCCAGCTGTAGCTATTGAACGTGCCTTCAAAGCACAGATAATTGGTTACACTCCATAGTATCTGTTATAATTAAAAACACTCATCAGCAATTGGTTATGGCACATAACTCACTATCACCAGTTCCAGTCTATATCACAATTCACAAATTAAAGAGAAGAGGACGAAAAATCATAAATGCGAAATACAAAAGGTCATGGTATATCAGTAGCAATCGTACTGAAAAATCCAAAATATCAAGTATAATGATAATGAAATTTGAAGGTGATGATTACTTGCTTAGAGTGCTAACTAAACTGTTTGCCAATTGATTATGTAAATAAACCCTCATTATTGCTTGGAAAAATTAATATCGGCGGAGCCAAGTATTCAACCAGGGAAATGACTAAATCAGAAATAGTACAGTCCTTCAGGAAGCTACTCCACGAAGAGGAGGGGGAATGAAATGAGAAGGAAAAAAAAAAGGCAAAGACTTACACTTGCCACGCAACCGATGGATTCATTCATTTAAAATGCTGCCCTGTCATCTTGGATGTTGATTTCTTTAAGCTCCTCGATTTCAACCTGCAATTCAAAATGTTCGACACGAAATTCAGAAAACTAAGTAAAAGTTAATAACCAATCAACAAGAAGAAAAATGGTAAAAGAGTCGAAAGAAACACAAACGTCAACACACATACATTAGACGAAACAGAGGAGGAAATTATTTGCAACAGGAACCATCAAAAGAGAAATACTACGGAAGAGGATACCGATCGACGACGCAGCATCACATAATTGAAGAAAACCCACAAGGAAACCTAATGGACGAGGAGGATAGAACAAATCACGCAACGCAACAACGGAGAATCTTGCAAACAACAAGAGGAATCGATCGTCTGTACTGGGAATGGACAATAGAATTGGCAAGGAATGAATGAAAGAGCTGTCATGCACAGTAGTACTGGAAATGATAATCCAAAACTCACCATCACATAAAGCTTTTGAAGTACCCAAATGGGAATTTTGGACTGGAAATTCATTAATTTCACGGACCCAAAAAGCGATCCCTTCTTAACGATTTACAGTCCCCAAATACATATATCTCATATTAGATACTGCCAGCTCCCATAATCCCCTTCCCATTTTTTTCTTAAACTATATTTGTTTTTCTTTGCTTTCCTATTTATATATGCCAAATATGTCCGGTCTGATCAGTTCAATTGGGTCTGTTGTCATTGCCAATGATTCCCGTTGTGAACAAGGCAGACATGGCTAGGATTTCCATGAGCTTGCAGGTAACCATAATGATATTGAGGAGGAGGAGGAGGAGTCTTGTTTATAGAAAACGCTACCGGCTTCGAGATCTGATGATGGTAGCACCTTGGAGTGGTAGAAGTTGAAGCAATAGTGGCAACACCATAACTATTAAAGGATGATGATGGTGATGAAGAGGACGAAGATGATGATTTGGAAGAGGAAAAACAGATTTTTTGGGGAGCGAAAGGAAAGCTCTGATCTTTAAAGATGCAGTTGGTGCTGCTGCTCGATCGTATTCCTCGACGAGATTAGCTAGATCCTCATCTGAGGTGATAGATACCAGAGCGTCAAGATCTTCTTTTGGCAACTGACAACGAAGACTCACTGACGTCCCACATAACTCTCGAAGCTTCAACAATAACTCTGTATACCACACGCAAAAATATTCCATCCCATATCACTTACTCCATCATCAAACATTCACAGATACGTAATATTTGATATGGCAAAGCTAAAGAAGGAATTACCAAAAGAAAATAAAAGAAAAGGAGAGATGATGGAAATTAATAATAACATATACGTAGTAAAGACTGACTGACCAGCGAAGGAGATGGAACGGTCGACGCCGACGACACGGGTTTCCCCACCTTGGTAACGGAGTTTGCCGTCGGGGAAACGGGGAATAATCTTGCCGCCATAACTGCAGAAAAACTTGATGGTGGCGGTGGCGTTGGCAGAGGAAGGAGGTTTGAGGTGGAGCTTGGTGGTGTCAAGTGAAGATCCTACCATGCTTTTGTGGGATTTGGGTATATAAGATAAATGGGGTCCAGTCAATTTAGAGAGAGAGCGAGAGAGAGAGAGAGAGAGAGAGCTATTCTTAAGAAGCGGAGAGCTTGAAGGAAGATGCCGAGCCAAGCTAGCTACTTAAGAGTTGCCTCTTCAAGCCTAACTGTGGTTCTCTTCGTCCCTTATTTATAGACTTGGTTTATTACAGAGGGGAGGTGGCAACTTGAGAGTGGGGCTCAACTTACGTCAGTTAAGATTCCTGGAGAGCCCACATTCTGGGATAAAAACAAAAGTTTGAACTTCAAACCATACACTTATTGACTCGCTGACCTTGTCAATCTTTTTCTCTAAGGGAAGTATCCCGTTTGTGTGAAAAAATAAAAAATAAAAAATAAAAACAAAAAACTCAAATACCGGAAGAAAATATCTTCTACTTTTATGTATCTTTATGTATTTATATTTTCTTTTGTTACTTTTAAAAAAAATATCTCTCAAACTATCAAAAGAAAATCTTTTTTATTATATTACTAATGAGCTAAAAGAGGTGGAGTTTTTTAACAATGACAACAATATTCACTCTTATAATATACTGTTTACTCTCTTTTTTTTAATTCTGCTTTGATACTTCAAATTTTAATCCCTAACTAATGCACTACATGTTATTTCTTTTTTTCTTTGATTTTTTTCATCAATTTATCCTTTATATATATATATATATATATATATATATATATATATATATATATATATATTAATCCCTAACTAATGCACTACATGCTATTTCTTTTTTTCTTTGATTTTTTTCTTTTCTTTTTTTCATCAATTTATCCTTTTATATATATATTAGGTGTTACCCTCATAATGTATTATTCACTCTTGAATTTCTCTTTTTTTGTAATTTTCACATTATTTCGTTTGGGTCCCTAAAATTTTAAAATAAAAAATTTTAATCCCTAGCTCATGCACTATATGCCTTTTTTTTCTTTGGTTTTTTTTCCTTTGCCTTTTTCCATAAATTTAAGTTCTTTTTTTTATTTAATTGGGTTTAAAGATTTTTCAAAATTAATCATGTGATTATATAATATATACGGTATGTTTTTATATTTTAGAATAAATATATATTACTTTTATTATTTAAAATTGATCTTTTCGATTTATTGTAGAAATTCTCATGAATTTAATTTTTATTCTTATTTTTTATATAATTTTATTTATTAATAAATATGATTTATTTTCTCTATGTATGAATTCGAATAAGTTTTTTTTATATCAGTTTTTATTTGCTTAATTCTTATTTTTTTATTCTTTATATAATCAAATTTTATAGTTTTTATTGCACTCTATTAAATTCAATGTATATTTTAGAATTTAATTTTTTTAAAATATTTTTTTATTTATGCTATACATTCTCATCCATTGAGTGCGGTCATAATTTATAAAAATAATAATGTTAGAGTCATTGATTTTATTAGAAATCAACTATATATTTACACATATAACACCAACTATTTGTCATTATTTTTTTATATTTTAAAATTAATTTTTTTAAAATAAAATAATTTAAATAATATTTTAGAATAATCACTTAATAATTCAAATACAATTTTGTATACTAATATTATTCATTATTTTGTAAATAAATATATAAATCGAATATATATATTTAAATAATCTTCTCATTTGTTAATTTTCATTCGAGTTTTTATATTAATTATTGCTTTATTTATTTGATGCAATGTTATCAAAAAAAAAACATTAAGATTTTTTTAATTTTATATTAAAATTTGTTTATTATGGGTTTTTATTTATGAATAAATGCATAATAAAGAACAAATCATATTTTTTTTACTTCAAAATTTATTCAAAACATAAGAAAATGTATAGATACAAATTTTGATTAAAAATTATAAAATTATATGAAATTTTATCTTTTATATTTAATTTAATATATTTTAGTTAATCGAAAAAATAGTAGATATTATCAAACTGAAATAAATATGTTTTATTCGGTTCACGAGCGTAGCACATAAATCCAAACTATTCATATGCCTAAAATTCATATTCACTTAACAATTATATGCATAAAATTACTATTCACTTGATGAAAATTTAAGTAATTTTTGTGTGTGTTTTTAGACATTAATATGTAAATTTAACACTTTTTTCTATTTTTATCACTCAAGTTGTAGCATTGTTTTTCAATCTTTAGCTTTCATTTTTTTTTCACGTAGCATATATGTATATATGTATGTATGTTTTAAAATTAACATATACTTCAGCTCATGTTACTTTTATTATTTAAATTTCATTCTTTGAATTTATCTTTTTTTATGAAAATTTTCATCTAATTAATATTTTTATATATAATTTTATTTACGGATAAAAATAATTCATTTTACTATATGTTTGAATTTTAGAATAAAATCTTAAAACATGATTATTTTCTATTTTTAAAAATAAATTGGTATAATATATATCATGAATTCTTAGAACTTTTAAATAATATTTGCATATATATCACAAGAAACACTAAAAAAAAAAAAAAACTAAACTACTGTAGCAGTTACTGTGGATTAACTGTAGTAGCTTTTTTTTTTTTTCTTCTTTCTCCAGCCCTCTTGCTTTAGCCACTAGCTAATGCCCTCTTTTGTTTTTAATTTTTTCCTTCCGTTTGCTTTGCTGTGGCCAAGCCATGGTGTTGGCTTTTCTTTATTTTTTTATTTTAGTCCCTGTTTTGCAATCTCTTTTTAGTTTAGTCATTAAACTTTTATTATATTTAATTTTTATCCCTATAATCAATATTAAAATTAAAATTAAAATTTTATTATATTTGGTTTTTGTTCCTATAATAAATATTAAAATTTTATTATATTTGATTTTTTTCCTATAATAAATATTTTTTTAACTTTTAGTAAAAATTTATATTTTTTTGTTCTTATTTTATAATATGTTTTATTTTGGTCATTAAAATTTTATCATATTTGATTTTTATTCTCACTATACTAAAACTAAATAAAATTTCACTATCCTAAGCTTTTTTTTTTTTTTAATTTTAGTGAAACTTTTCTTTCTATTATAATTCATGTTTTATGATTTTTTTTTTTTTGCCATTAAATTTAGTTTTTTTTTTTTTTTTGGTTTAGTCCATGTTTTGTAATTGTTTTTTATTTTGATAATTAAAATTTTATTATATTTGATTTTTTCCTCTATGAGGAACTATTTTTTTAATTTTAGTAAAACTTTTTGTTATGTTTTGGTTTTTATTTTGTAATCTTTCTTTTATTTTGATCATTGAAGTTTTATTATATGTGATTATTATTCTTTTTACACTAAAATTAAATACAGTTTCACAATTCTAAGTTTCTTTTTTACTTTTAGTAAAAAATATTTTCTATTTTTGGTTCTTATTTTGTAATTTTTTTTATTTTGATCATTAAAATTCTATCATATTTTACTTTTGTTCCTATCTTATGTATAATAATAAAAAAAATTAGTCTTGTTATTTATAATTTTTTTTTTTTTTTTGCTTTTAGTGAAAGTTTTTTTTATTTATTTTGATCATTCTTTTATGATCTTTTCTTTATTTTGATCATTTAATTTTTATCGTATGTAATTTTATCTCTATTTTTTTTTTGTCAAATTTTTTATTTGAATAAGTTTTTTTGTCCTTTTATTTTGGATGGTCTTTCTATTTTATTTACAAATCACGGATGAAGAATATATCGTAAAAATTAATCATCTAAAATTCAAAAAACTACCACATCGTTATTTTAGTTACCGAGTTATTATATATATTTCTAATAAAATACATATTTATATGAAACAATATCTTATTAGTAATTTTATATTATTCAACCTTGCAAATTTTTCATTTAGCTAACCTTGCGACAAAATATGATACATATGTTTTGGTTATTTTTTTAAATATTTTTTTTGCATGATCCTTTTAAATAATTATTTTTAAATTTTTTATTTTATATGAATGAACACATAAAAATATTGTATAAAATCACCCCATGGCATTGCGCGGGATACATGCTAGTATTATTCTATAAGGTTAAAAGTGTATTTCAAATAATTTGTTTCGAGTTCACTAAGCATGGTCAAGATGAATGAAAACAATAGTGAATCATTTTTCTTTTATTAAAAATTAACTACATTAATTGTAAATATATATATATATATATATATATATATATATATATATATATATATATATATATAACAATAGATTTTTAAAGTATTTGTTTTTGAATTCTTAATTAATATTTTAGGTTTAAATTATTACAAATTTTTATTTAAAAATCCCTAAATAAAGAAGAATAAATCATGTTTTTTAAAGCAAAAATTTTATGAAAAAAAATATTAATAATTAAATAAAAAATTAATGAAAAAATTATAAAATTTTGAAATAATTTTATTCTATATACCTACGGCTAGGGGAGAGCATTCGGTTAAACGGTTCGGTTTTGTATGATTCGGTTCGGTTTTTGGTTAACCAAATTAAAAAAATTAAAAACCAAAACCAAACCGAAATAAATTCGGTATATTCGGTTTGTAACCGAATTATTTCGGTTTGGTTTCGAAATATTTCGATTTTAACCAAAATATTTTTTTGTAAAAAAAAATCATTACGGAGAGATATTTTGTACTAGCACTTAGTCTACTAGCCAATAAAGTAACATCTTGTTATCAATTAATCCTTTTTATAAACAATCACAAAGCTCTTGAAGATTTTAATTAAGCTTTAATGAAAATGAGTCCAAGTGTAATAAATTTGCTCATTCAAACACGTTGTATCCCAATTAATTACACTATGTCACTTTCTTTTCTTACCCCAATGGTCCTTAAAATTTACTTCATCTGCGTGTTTCAATTTCAACAAGAATGAAGATTGAAAAGTTAGGGATTTAGAAATTAGGAAATTTTTTACTATTTATTTTGGTTTTTGGTCGAAACCGAAATTTTTTTTCTAAAAACCGAACCGAACCGAAATAATTTCG